AGGGGCATCCAGGAGGCAGCCAGTCAGTGATTCTCTCTCATCATTGATGTTTCTATCTCTCTCCCTTCCTCTCTGTAAAAAATATCAATAAAATATATTTAAAAAAATATTAAAAAAAACAAAACAACAACAACAACAACAAAAAACAAAGATACAAATATGTTCAAAGTAAAAGTATGGAAATACCTATCCCATACAAACAGTATCCAGGAGAGAACTGCGGTGAATATTCCAATATTACACAATCTAGAGTACTATAAGATAAATTTTTTATTGTAGACAACAAAGAACATTATATATTGATAAAACTGTCAACCCATCAAGAAGATACAGCAATTATAAACACACGTGCACTAAACAGAGCCTCAAAATATGTCCAGCAAACATTAAAAGGGTTGAAGGGGGGGAAATAAACAGTTCTATTAAATAATTGTTGGACATTTCTATGCCCCACTCTCATTAATAGATAGAACAATGAGACAGAATATCAGTAAGCAAATAGAGCACTTGAACTCTATAAAACAACTAAACTTAACACACATATATATAGAACACTCCATTCAGTGATAATAGATTACACATTATTCTCAAGTGCATATGGAACAGTCCCTAGGTTAGACCCTATTAGAGACCACAAAACAAGCCTCAATTAATTTAAAGCATTGAAAGCATCAAAAAAACACCTTATTTGACAACAAATAATGAAAACAAATCACAGCAGTTGTGTAGGATAGTGAGTAATAGGAAATTAAGAGCTGGCTGGGCTTTAGAGAGGGTGAATAGTCTGGAAACAACTATAAAAAAGCAAGCAAATGTCTTGATCTTTATGTACATGTAAGTCAAGTGGGCTGCTAAGAATCTTTGGTTGTTCATTCCAGGGGTGGGGGAGAGGACTAGGCAGCCATATAGCACTCTAAGGTTGGTCCTAGGCTCTCAAATCTTAATTTTTGAAGCCCTAATGCTTTATTACTTTGTGTTTATAAAGTAAATGAGTTTAATT